TTTTGTTTTGTTTTTCTGCTGTTCCTGTTTGGCAATCACAGCTGTGACAGCAAAAAATACCTCTAGAGATGGCACCCAAAGAGAGTGGGAAGCTGAGAGGAGGCACCGGATGGCCCCATGTCTCATCCCATCACCACCGTGCCCTCCATTCTCCTAGGGAGGCAGGAACACCCCCAAGGAAAGCCCCACGGCCAAACCCCTCGATGTCAGCCGGGAGGGACAAGTGACTGTGGCCTGCCCCAGCTCAGGGGCTTCTCCAGAAGCTGTCAGAAAGGAAGTGACAGGCTGAAGTGGGTGTCAAGAGGGAACTGACCTGACTGAGACCAACAATAAGGAGACAAAACCAGTTTCGTGTTTGGTCCCCTGCCCTCCCGAGGCATCCAGCGTCACCGTGGACAGCCAGTCCCCTGAGACCAGGCTCACCAGACACCCCACCCTCGGTACCGAGGATGGTGAGTTCATTTGAGGATGGTGTTCCTCAAATGGAGGCTGTGGTGAGGAATGAGAGAACATTCAGGCCATACCGAGACCAGATGCCATCGGCTGCGCCCTCAGAGCATTCGGGGCGACCAGGAAGGGTATGACACTAGATCTGACCACATGCCATTCAGATGCCAGGCCAAGGGAAGACGGTGGGAGGCTGGGGCAGCCATGCCAGGCACACCAGGCTGCTGAGCAGGGTACACAGCGTGGGGCAGAAGTAGGGCAAATGCTGCCCTGGGGACCACGTCAGGTACGGCAGATTCTGGAACCCAGGGTCAGGACTCATGGTGCTGACCAGGAGGAGCAGAAGTGCCCGTGAGTGGGAACTGGGCCTGGCCCCCAGGCAGCTGTGGTGGTGCGGCCCATTAAGCATGCCCCATCAAGACTTCTGCCTGCCTTGGTCTCCACAGGGGCTGAGCACTTCTCTGTGTCGGCCTGGCAGGGTGGGTAAGAAGAGGGCCCAGGAGAGCAGGCCCTGGCCGAGCCCTGGGCTGAGGTCCTCTGTGGTTTCTGGAAGCTCCTTGGGTCCCTTGACGCCTGTTTCTGCACCGGACTTCCTGTGAGGATGGTAGAGGGTGTGTGAGCAGCCAGGGAGGAGGAATGGGAAGGGAGGAAGAAGCTGAGGGAGAAGGCAGGGGGAGTGACACCCAGGGGCAGAACTTTGCCCAATTAGAGACCACCTCAGCACCTCAGGGGACTCTGAACCCAGGCCAGCTCCTTGGAGTCCTCCACCATACTACTGGCAACTAAAACTTGTAGCCGTTTTCCAGATGAGGGTAGAAGTCTAGCCACATAGACGAGATTATCCCAGAGGGAACAGTCAAGCTGACTCCAGTCCAACGTCACGTTTCCAGAACCAAGTGCTCTTGGCCTTGACCATGGGTTCCTGCAGCCTTTGAGTCAGTGCGGCGCACTCCGCAGGTCCTTGATAAGGGAGCGAAGGTGAGGAGGAAGGGGGAAATGGGAAATGGGCAGGGGACACTCAGGTGGAAAATAAATAAATAATACAGGAGCTGTTTTCCTTGCCAGCCTGGCACGGTGCCAGGCAGTCACCTTGCCCTTGGAGCTCGGGGCCACACTTGCCTCATCTTTTCCAGAAGTTTTCGAGCCCAGATACGTCAGCCCTCAGGTATGTGCTTGGCTGCCTGGCCTTCTCCCTGCTCTTTCCTCTGGAACTCGGCCTTCTTGGCACTGACCACCCTGCCCCAGGGAGCCAGCCCAGCCGAAGGGCCCCTCCTCAGTCAGGTTCCCTCTTGTAGGGGACTGTGACAAGCCCCTTGAGCAAGGAAGATGCCCTGTAGGGCAGGCAGAAAGCTGGGGTACGGGGGAGGGGCGGGGCCACACTGTCTAACTAACAGGTTGGTCTGGCTTGAGGTTGAGTCCCGCCCTCCTGCAGCTAATGAACACCATGCAACAGGTGTTTGCGCCTCAGTCCCCAGCCGGCCCTGGAGGTGACAGGAGGCAGCGGCCAGCCACCAACTCCGAAGCTCCCTCGCTCGCTGGTAGGCCCTCCGGCTCCCAGGCCCAGGGGGGCCACCATGGCCTACCGCTCCTGCGTCGTTGGCTTCAGCAGCCTCAGCGGCTGTGAGGTGACCCGTGCAGGCAGTCCCCAGCCTGGGACCTCAGGATGGGGCAGCTGTGGGCTCCCTGGGCCTGGCTTCAGCTCTCGAAGCCTCACAAGCTGCAGGCCAGCGGGCGGCATCCCCAAGGTGACTGTGAACCCCAGCCTGCTGGTACCTCTGGACCTCAAGGTGGACCCAGCTGTCCAACAGCAGAAGAACCAAGAGAAGGAGGAGATGAAGGTCCTCAATGACAAATTTGCCTCCCTCATCGGCAAGGTGAGCTGAGTGGGACAGGGCTCCAAAACAGAAGGGCAGCCCCGCCCCTGCTGACGGCCAATGGGGAGGTGGCACGGCTAAACCCGCAGGAGGCAGAATGGGAAATTCTATGCCACACTGGTGTCTTGGGAGAAAGGAACCCAGGATGCACTCTGAGGGAAATCTGGATAAGGGCATGGCACCTGGCTTGGGGGTGGGGAAGCCAGTGTGCCCCCCCAGCAGTCAAGGAAGTGCTGGGGGGGCATAGAGGTGTGACCTACTGGCCTCTGCCCGGGCAGGTGGATGGAAGACACTGCTAAAATGCCCTCCTGACCCCAAGCGGGCCAGCCTGGAAGCATCTCCCCCCAGGCTGCCCAGCTGGCCTTCCCCATTCATCCATAGAACCACTGCTGCCAGCAGGTCCAAAGGGGCGTGTGGGGCAGGACTGAGGCTGCCACGGAGGCTGGGTGAGGAAAGAGCAGCTTTGGCTCGTCAGGAGAAAGGAATGCAGAGGACTATGTGAGAGTCCAGCCAGCAGCCAACAGCTGGGGCGCTCTGCACTCACCTAGGTGGAAGCACCAGGGCCCCAGCCGCCTAGCCCCCACGCTTCCTAGACTCACTGCCTGCAGCTAGCGAGGGCTTCAGGAAGTCCTGTCTGTCTGCCAAAGCTGTGCCCACTCAACCTTCAGCTTCCTCCTGAGTCACAGCCGCACTGGCTATACTGCATGCTGGCGGGCCGGACACCACAGGCACCTCCGGTCCCCTCCACTGGAAAGAGAGGTGTTTCATGTCCATTGCGCAGGAAAGGGAAAGTGCCTGCCTCGCCTCTGAGGAGGCAGAGACCCAGCTTCATCTACCTCTGGGTTTCTAACTCTGCATACCCTTGCACATTTCTGGGGGTGCTGAGAGGCAGGGCGTACAGAGAGGTAGAGAGGAGAGAGTGTCACACGGGGGCCTGTGTGAACCCCACAGGAACTTAGCGAGCAGGCTGTCGGTCGGCACCAACATCACCACTGTTGGTTTCCCAGCCGTACACATGGGGTAATAGGACCAGAGAGGCTAGGTGCCCGGCCCGCAGTCACACAGCCAACTGCCGACACAGCTGAGGCGTGAACTCAAGTCTGCACGAGAGAGAAGGACCTGTTTGAGTCTCAGCAGAACCGTGTCTTTCTCCCCAGCCTCTGACTAGCTCAGTATCTCCTCACTTACATCCAAAGTGCCCAGACTGGGGGAGGGGCAAGCAACCCTTCCCCCAGCCCGGCTGCACCATGGAACGGGTGGCCGGGGAGGTAGGCCCTGCAGAGGCGCCTCCTTGACAAGTCTGGCTAATCCCTTAAAAGGAGTGCTGCACTGAACTATGTAATTTGGCTCCCATGGGTGGCTTTTCTCCGTCGAACAAATGCCAATGCTGATGTCACGCTGAGCCACTGCCCTGGGCACGGGGTGGGAATCGTGGGTGTGCGCCCAGGGAAGGAGCCAGCACAGCTGGGGTCTTGGGTTCAGGCCCATGAAGGGCCTTAGCAGGACTCAAACCTCCAGCTCTCAGAGGTGGCCTTGAGACGGGTGCGCTTGCTGTAGGGTGCAGGGAGCTGTGGGTCCAGGCCTCTGGAGACCCTGCGGCCCCAGGAGATGGGCAGCCGCTCAAAGAAGCCTCAGAAGCCTATGACTGAGTTTAAATCCTGGGCTCCCCACCTGTGTGACCTCAGGTGGGTTGCTGAGCCTCTTTGGGCCTGTCAATCAAATGGGATGGTTTTTGAAAAGCAGTGAGAACACATCTACCAGATAGTGCAGGCTTTCTGATCCTTTGCTAAGAACGGAGTAAACAGGCCTGGTGCGGCCAGCTCCCGGACCTTGATACCCCCCACACACACCCGAGGCCTGGAGAGCAAGGGGAAGGTGGGGAGGGGCTCATGGGGAGGGGTGCAACCGAGGCTTCAGAGAGAGGTGCAGGCAGGGAAGGCTTGGGAGATGGATTCCAGGCCCAGGGCAAGGCTGGGGCTCTGAGCAGAGAGCAGGGAGGAGTGCTCCACTCCTCTCCCCACTCAGGGCCCTCTGCTGCCCTGAGAAACAGTGTGTGTGGAAGGGAAGGGAAGGGAGCTGATCCCCCAGAGGCCACGATGGTGTTCCCTTCAGTGATAGGCTGTTTCCTTAAGTAAATGGCTTGCCCTCTCTGTGCCTCAGATTCTGGGGCTCTGCTCTACAGCCATCCTGTGTCCCTGGCAGGGGGAGACTGACAAGGCCACAGGCACAGGGAAGGACGAGGAAGGCTGGAGAGGTTCGCTGCAGGGGGATTTCCAACATGAAGACAGCCTAGGTGATGGGGCGCTGAGGAAGGACAGCCCAAGGGCAGAGGACAGCTGGACATGAGGGCAGGACACGCAGTTCTGAAGGTCTCAGCATCCCTGTCCTCAGGACTGCTGTCATCAGACACAGGCCCGGTTTCCTGTGGGTCCCTGCTCCTCCACTGGGACTTGGCACCTTCCTGGCACAGTGGGGACCCCTGTCAAATGTCTACCTGCAGACAGTGGTCAGGCCCTCCACAAGGCGCACCCCAGCTCCAGCCAAAAGGAGACTCGGCAACCTCTGTGAAAAAAATCTCACACTATAAGGCCTGTTCAGCCAGACCTGGCTCCCTGCAGCTCCCAGCCTGTTTCCTTTTTTGTACAGTGAGGAGACAGACAAACCAGGAATTTGCCCTGGAAAGGAGCCCCCCATAGCTGCCACTGTGCCCCCATAGGGCAGGGACCTGCAGTGCTGCCACTGTGCCCCACAGGGCAGGGGGACTGGCTGGAGGAGGTTGCACTGGCTCCTCTTGGGAGCTGGGATTACTGGCCCTCCCTAGGCCTTTGTTTCCATAGGGAGGAGCCTTTCTGCCTTCAGCAGGCCATGGCTAAAGATGACTTCTCATCCCCACCCACTGAGACAAGAGACTCCCCAAAGCTGGTGGGAGACAGAAGGTATACCCTTGGTTCCCCCAAGGGCCCAGTGCCCTCCAGCTGTGCTGGTTGGCCCAATTCACAGCATCTCCCTGACGGAACAGTGCCGAAGCGTAGAGCGCGGAGGGTAGACCGAGAGAACTTCCTGGTGAAGGCTTTCCTGTTGCCCGTGGGTGGAGGCACCCTCAGTGTAAACATGGACTCCTGCTTGTCAAAATGCAGAGAAGGTGGGGTGAGCCGATACTCCCCCACAGCCTCCCTCACACACGCACACAAAGCAAGGCAAGAACCCTCCTCACCTCCAGCCCGACGGAACCTGTTTGATTGTGGCCCAGGTTTAAGGCAGTGTCAAGCGGAACTTCCCAGAGAGATGGGTGTGAGGCAGGGGAATGCTGCTCACCAGCGTCATAGTCCGTGCCTCTACCCAATGCTCCTGCCCTCCTCCCTACCAGGAAAAAAAAAAAAAAAAGGTGCCAAAGGCTTGTGGCAGCTTTCGGGCTGTGGTCCTGGGAGTAAGGCCAGCACTTTCGGCATACCAGCATCCAGTTAGCACCACATCCTCAAGGTCAGAGCAGCCTCCTGCCGTCAGCCCTCACCGCTGTGGCCACCCAGGGCTCCCGAGCTGACTGGGAGGACGCGTGAGAAGCTGGGGGGGGGTCCTGACTCAGTCTGTGGACATCCTTCAGGGGTGACTGGGAGGAGACACGCAGCGGAGGAAGGCAGAGGATACTCAGGAGGACAGGCAAGGGGAGGACAAACCAGGAAGTCTCCATTGTGCTGGGGCGCAGTCCAGTGGGAACGGAGGCGAGAAGAGAACCAGGCAGCCTTCTGGGGCCGAGCTGTGGTCCAGGGGTTGTAGGTGCCTCCATAGATCCAAGCAATGGGGGAAGGGGTCAAAGCTTGGGGAAACCTGCAGGGTTTAGAGCCCCCTCCGTCCTTATCCTCAAGCCCACTCTGACCCTGCCTGGGGAAAAGCCCTCTTCCGAAGGGCCCCAGGCCCAGGCCCAGGCCCCAGGAGGCACACTTCAGCAGTACATGACCTCAGTGCAGGCTGGGGGCACAGCTCGGTGGGCAGAGTGCTTGCCTGGCATGCAGCAGGGTCCAGATCTGAACCCCGGCGCTGCATGAAGCAAGAGCTGTGGTCTCAGCAGTAGACGTAGGAGAAACGGAAATCCAAGGTCGTCCTCAGCTACATAACGAGCTTGAGGCCAGCCTGTCCCAGAACAAGCAAACAAACAAAATCCCAGGTGCCGGGTCTGGCTCTGCTGCCTGCTATCGTTCTTACAGCTCTGTGGGCCGGGTGCTGGCCCCCTCTGGAAACTGTGCTGATAGCAATTCCCACTCCACAGGGTGTTGCCTCAAAGGAGTTGGAACACGAAGCACTTGGAACCAGTCGGTGCACAGTTGGCACCTCACACGCATTGGCAGCTGCAGCTCTCCCGAGCTCATTCCCACCTTTTGCCCCTCCCCCACACACAGCCGTTTCAGACAGGCGGTGTTATCCACCTCAGCTTCCAGCTGGGGAAACTGAGGCTCAAAGCATCTGCAACCCTGGGTCTGTCGGGAGGGTTAATACTAAAATGCCAAGTAAGCCTGCCTGTCTGGGTTTCAAGGCCAGATGCGATCAGGCTTGCGGTGGAGGAGAGGCAGGTAGGACCCCCTACATCTCCCGTGCTCCTATTTCGGGCTCTCGCATTAGCCTGCGACAGGCCAGAGTTCCACGCCCTGCTCCCCTAGCTTACCGAAGGCCCTGCCCAGGCCAGGAAGCCTCTGTCTCTTGTCTCCACCTCCATCCTGCCCTTATCTCAGCATCTCCAATGCAACAGCCAAGAGCCGGAGGTGGCTCTGCACAGCGCTCGGAGCGCGGGAACGCGTGCAGATGAGCTGCTCTGTCCCGGGGAGTCCCTCCTCGGGGTCCCCCAGCCTGCCCAGGGAACCCAGTGTGGCACCTGCCGACCTACTCAGCTCCCTCCTGCTCTTGCAGGTACAAGCTCTGGAGCAGCGCAACCAGCTGCTGGAAACCCGCTGGAGCTTCCTGCAGGGCCAGGGGTCGGCTACCTTCGACCTCAGCCACCACTACGAGGCCTTCCAGGGCCAGCTGCAGGAGGAGCTGCGCAAAGTGGGCCAGGAGCGGGGACAGCTGGAGGCCAGCCTGTCGCAGGTGCTGGAGAAAGTGGAGGAGTTTCGCATCAGGTAGGCCTCACCCGCCGAGAACCAGGGGCTGAGGCTGAGCGCGGGGACCAGGCTGAACTCCGGAGGGGTGCCCCCAAGCTGGAGGGAGGAGCATCGGTCTTCTCTAGACACAACTCTTGAGAACATCACGGGCACCACTGTAGATACTGCAGGTATGGGTGGACCTCCTGCAGTGGCCCTGACGGTCCGCCAAGCTTCGGCCACACAGGCTTAGAGCTAAGCCCTGGGTGCTGGCCTGACACAGGCCTGGCTGCAGCAGCCCTTCCTGAGCCTGCATACATGCCAGCGCCTGCGTACTGCCCTGGGATGGGACCTCCTGCTTGTAGCATAAGCGCTGAGCTCTGCAACGCGCCCTGCGTGTTGAGCTTGGCCTTGGCACTAAGAGGGAAACCCTAAGAGCAGGCAGGCGACAGTCAGGGCTTACCTTGGTAAAGCAGCAGACCCTGTTAGAGCGTGCTGCTAGGCCTCACGGTAGCAGGAAGATGAGGGGAACATGATGCTTTTACAGCTACTGAGACAGAGGGATAGACAGGCAGGTGGACAGAAAGTGGGCAAGCGCCGCCCAGTAGTCACAGGCCCTAGATTTGTGGCTTCAGGCAAGCATAGCCCACTGACTGGTCACTGTTCCCTCCTGAGTGTGAGAACAAGGTGACTGACAGTAACCTCAGTTGCCATGAGGAAAAACCTGAGAGTTCAGGTTGGTACCTGGCAGTGACTTTCCTGTCCCCAAGAATGGTAGCGCTGCCAAAAAAAAAAAAAAACTGGCTACGCCGAGCTAGCCAGCCGAGGAAGGCAGAATAAGCACCTGGGAGGCCCAGGGAAGGGGTGGCCCTCTCTAAGATCAAGCAGTGGACAAGCCCTCCCAGACAAGGCAGCTGAGGCTGAGCAGAGAAGTAGCTCATGCCCCTGGGTCCCTCCTCAGGCCCTCGTCCTGCAGTGTGGCCCACAGACCATCAGTCAGAGGCAGGACCAGCATTCCAGGAGCAGCCAGGCAGAGCAGAGAGTAGGCCAGCTTGCCTGGGAATCCAGGCTCCTGAGCTGAGGAACGCTGTGGAGGCCACCTCCCCCAGAGAGCTTCCCAAGTCCTCGGAAACCCACACGGGCGTGTGATCACGCGGGCCTGCCCAGCACGTGTTCCCCAGGAGCTTCAGCCCGTTTCACTGGTCCCTGATAGGTCTGACAGCCTCAGAGGAGGCTCAAGGCAAGGCCTACTAAGCAAAAATGTCACCCTCAGTGGCCACGGAAGCATGGCAGGCCAGGGCACCTGCAGCTGAATCCCTCTCAGGCCCGGCTGCTTGCTGTCACCTGGACCCTGACCCACTTCCTGTCTGCCTGGCCATTCAGGCTTCTCTCTCTTCTCTGGGGAGGGGAAGTTGATAGTCAGTCTTACAGAAGGGTGTCAGGAGTTTGGGGTCTTCAGGCAGCTGGCAGTGTGGGGTGGAGCCCTGGCAGGGAGGGGCCGGCCGTGCCTCGCCTCTGCAGGGTGATGAGCTCAGTCTTGCTCCCAGAAATAAACAAGTGGGGTGGCAGCTGTGACAGGTTCAGGAGCTGGTGGCTGGCAGGCTGGTAGCAGACTGGAAGTGGGACGGGAAATAGGCACTACCTGAGCTGCAGTGGGATGGAGGCTTCCAAGCATGGGGAACCCAAGAGCCCCAGGTCTGCCTGGCCTAACTCTCCCACTTACTGAAAACAAAGCAGAGGCCCAGCGAGGGGAAGCGACACTCCCGGGCTCAGCCAGCCAACTCGGGCATGGCGGAGAGCCACACGAGGTGGCTGCCGAACAGAAGCGTGTGGCTGAGGGGTGAGCGGGGGCCGAGTCTGGCTGAGCATCAGACAGCAGGCTGGGGCAGACTGAGGCAGGCTGCCTTTGAGGAAGGGCTTCTTCCACCTCACACAAAAGCTGGGAGCCAGTAGCAGGAGCTTCAGGGAGACTGGGCGCCAGCCCCAGACTGGAACCCAGCGCTAAGCCTCAGACCTCCTGATGGACCATCAGCCTAGGGCTCAGGCATTGGCCCACCTGGAGGCCACAATGAGGAGGGCCTCTAGCCCCAAGTGTCCCAGTGCTCTTCCCTACTGGGGGGGGGGGAGCATTTGGCTGCCATCAAAGTCCTGATACATGTTTACTAGGTCCCTAGTGGGTCTCTACCTGGCAGATCTGCCTGAAACACCCAGGAGGCACAGGTTCCTCATCCACAGTGAAAGCCCCATTCACAGGGTAGGCAGCTCCATGGGCCTCGGCCAGGACCAGGATCCTTCTAAGCTTTCTCAGGGGACACAGCCACCAAGGAGGTGTCTCTAAGCGATTAAGAACTAGTAGGACAATGGCAGAGATGGGATGGCATGGTTATCCAAAGGGGAAGCAGACAAGGATGCCCAGAGGATGGAAAGGGCAGAAAGGGCCTGGCACCCAGGGGTCCATCCAGATCCTCCCCAAGGTTGGCAGGTTCCACTACCCAGAGGAAAGATGGGTGCTGACCAGCTACCTGCATTTAGAGGGCAGCAGGACGAGGGACTCATTGCCTTCAGCCCCAAGGCAGGGGAATTTCACCGGGGCTCCCAGACTCCAGTGAGAGAGGCATGCCCTCGTAGGTGACCCTGACGGCCGGGAACGACGCTCAGAGAGCCAGCCCCACTCTCCAGAGGCGTGGTGTGGTATAGCAGGGTTCATGCGGGCATGGGTGGCAGAACTACAGCACACTTTGAGTCCTCGTGACATTTCCATTGTCACAGCAGAGTCCACACACGAGTGATGTAATCAAGTGGGCGGCTACTCAGAAAGGCAGCTAGCACTTGGAGCGCCTGTGCCTCTCACTGTCACGTAAGACCCCAAGAGAGAGGGTGTTGGGGAGCACGGAGAAGGAGGCCCATGATACCTGTTGCACACGCATAAACACACACATGTGTAGTCAGGACTTCTGACCCATTTTATTCTCCCTGATGCATAGCCCCTGTCCAGCCCCACCATGACCCTCAGAGACCTTCACAGACACCCAGAAGACAAGGAATGGCCAAGTGCAGCTCAAACCCAGAGATTTAGAGAGCCTGGTCCCCCTGTGAACCCTGCCACGCTTAGGTCCACTCCACTGCAGATGTGGGCCCAGTCATGTGGCAGGGCCACCGTGCCATTGCCCTGCTGGGAGGTCAGAGATTGGGGCAGGTAGGCACCTGTAATTAGAGCCCTGAGTCAGGCATTCCTGGAGAGAAGAGAAGAAACTAACCCACTTCCATGCCCGTCCCCCAGGGCTGTCCTTGACGGCAGATGCCAGCCACCCTTTGGGGCCAAGACCAAAGGGTGTCTTAAAGAGAAGAGGATAAAGTGATGGAGCAAAGGGTCCTGCCCCCATTCAGCAGAGCCTGACTGAGGCAGCAAGCAACCGGGAAAAGTGAGGCTTTGTAGAGTGCCCTCCACAGGCCATGTATCTGTCCCCGCAGCAGGACAGACTGCACGTACGGCCTTACAAACAGGAGGTAATGGAGGACAGGAGAAACAAGTTGCCACTAAGCGTGCTGAGCCGAGCGCACGGAGGGCCCTATCCCTGCCCCCCTTTGGAGGTTCCAGAATAAGATGGTGCCCACTTTCTAGCAGAGCCAAGGAGCAAGAACGGGCTGCAGGGAAGAGAGCGTGAAACCAAAATAGGAACAAAATGCCTTGCAAGCTAAGGGTTCTGTTTGCAGTTAATTCCTTGCAAGTTAAGGTTTCTGTTTCTAATTAGGAATAGGTTCCTGTTCCTTAGATCTGATGCAAACTGCTTTCCACCCCAGTCACATGATGTAATCCTTACCCTTGCTCCTTCCCTTTCACTATCTTTCTAACAACGTGTAACAGCCAACTCTCTCCCCTGTGAACACTTTGTCTCTCCCATAAAGGGGACTCCAAGAGGCCAGCACAGGCTGCTCTCTCTGACTTGGGGTGAGACTGCTGGCTGGCCAGTCCGAGGCACACTCCAATATACACCCCAAAATACAGTTTGTTTCAATTGGACAACCGTGGATTTGGTCTTTTCTCCTCCAGAGTCTCAGGTTTAACAACAGGAATGAGCAGGATGCTAGGAGAGGAAAGACCACAGGCCTGGCCACACACTTGTGATTCCGGGGGTGGGCAGGTGAAGGAGTCACCGTGAAAGAGCTGACAGTCAAGAAGGCTTCCCAGATGACTATGCAGTAGAGCCAGGAAGCGGGCAGCCACCGCCGGGAGGTCCCAGGGAAGGGTGTGTCTCACAAGACCCGAGCTTGTGTCCACTGAAGGAAGAACCAAGGCTTCCTGTTCGATTTTGTTTTGTTTTTTGTTTTAAGACAAGGCCCCATTATGTAGCCCTGGATAGCCTAGAACTGACAGTCCAGGTTGGCCTCCAGCTTGTAGACTCTTGTCTCTGCCTCCCACGTGCTAGAACTATAGGTGTGTGCCACCACGTCCAGAAGGGCCACCCCCTCCAACCGCCACAAAGCACGGAGAGGTCTAGCAGAGACTTGGACCCCTCACAGAACAGTTAGCCACACCCCAAGCTCCACAATGTTGCTGAGGTATGCCTCTCCCCACAGGTATGAGGACGAGATCTCCAAGCGCACAGACCTAGAGTTCACCTTTGTCCAGCTGAAGAAGGTAACCACCAGCCCCTCCAAAATGGCCCTCCATCATGGCCCTCTCCCACAATCCTCCACCATGGTCCTCTGCCATGGTCCTCTGCCCTTGTCCCAGCATTGTCCCACTTTCCCTGATGCCTAAGCAAAGCTCTCAGGCACCTGAGCTGCAGCACCAACAGAAAGAAAGGCCAAGCGCCAGGCTGCCCCTTTCTGCAGGCTTGGGTATCGTCCCCTCCCCAGAAACCGTCCCACCTAACTCCTGCCCCGAGCCCTGGCCTTTTAGCCTCCATCTCCCACCTCCACTCCCAACTCCAGGACCTGGATGCTGAGTGTCTCCGACGAACTGAACTGGAAACCAAGCTAAAAGGCCTGCAGAGCTTCATGGAGCTAATGAGAACGGTCTATGAGCAGGTGAGAAAAGAAGGGCCTCATGGAGCTCACTCTTCAGAGGCGAGGGACACAAGTGGGGATCATTGAATGTTTAACACTCACCATTTCCAGCTGGTGACATTACGGCTTCCCAAGTGCACTCCTCTCCGGGTGCCAACGATCCTTACACTTCCCTTAGCCACACAGTTCATGACACAGGGGCAGGGTCCCAAAAGTCACTCGATTTGAGAGAGCCACCTTTATGCGTGTTAGGGTGCTAGCGAACAGAACAAATGCAAGAGTCAGTACGACGGTCCTTGTGTGATACATCCCTACTTGGGCTGAGCTCCATCTGGGTCCACGGCACTTCTGCCTCTGATGGACAGCGCCACCCCCCACCTCTTGGCTAAGATGGGAAGATTCATGGTGGCTCAGCCCAATCTTAAATGAGGTGGTAAATGTAGACAGAGAAGCTTCCAGAACATAGGCCCATCTATCTCTGAGGTCCTCGGCTGAGCCTGGGGAACTCAAGACCTGGCTCTCCAGGAACACTGTGCCCTCCTGGGCATCCTACCACAGCCTCTCTCACTCTCTTCATGTCACCCGTCTCAGGGGGCGGGGCGGTACAGGGGTAGCCTTTCACAAACAAGGAGTAAGAGAGCCATGGCTGGGGTTGACAGGCCCCAGAGCCCGTGTGCTGCCAACAGCTGGTGCCAAGCCATAGCAATGAAGTCAAGGCTGGAGCAGAGGCCAGTGTCACTGCCACAGTCCATGCAGAGTTCTGGGACCCACAGACTTCTGAGCATGTCTTCCCAGCCTAAGAAGGAGCTCAGGCCTCTCTTCCAGCAAGCTCAGCATCCCAGGACCCCTATGGGACTGACAGCCATTTGTGGCTGTGGGATGGAGCAGAGCAGAGAGAACTCCCACCCTCAGGGGCAGTAGGAAGGCGAGCTTACAGCTAGCCACACCGCCTGGCAGCCCTCCACAGCTGGGCCACACCCTGTGCGCTGCCCTGGGCTCCACACTCGCAGGCTGGCTGCTCTGCCCAAGCTCCTCTTGGCTTTGTGTGTGCCATATGGGCAACAGAGGGGCAGTGCTTCAGATTCTCTGCTCCACTATGCTCACCAATGCCTGGCAAGCTCAGAGCCCTAAGCCAAGGTGAAGGCCCTGCAGCTGAGACCCAGGCAGAAGGAGGCTGGCCATCCCCAACAGACCCAAGCATTGCCAAAGACTGTGTGCCTAAAGAGGCTTTTGGCCCCATCTCAATAGCCAGGCCTGTGAGCTCCATCCATGTGGAGCCACAGCTCTTGGGCTCGGTTTTAACTCCTCCCCTTTTATCATCTCTGTAACTTTGACTGAGCTTTGTCTCCTCCCTGTGCCTCAGTTTCCACATTTGTAAGTTGAGGAGAGTAACAGTAGCAGCCTGGTATGAGGAGACACTATGATCAAAGAAAGTCTTATAAGAGAAAGCGTTTAACTAGGGGCTTGCTGACAGTTTCAGAGGTTAGCCCATGGCAGGGAGCATGGTGGCATGATGGTACACATGGTACTGGAGAAGTAGCTAAGAGCTTTACATCCTGACCAGCAGGCAGAGAGAGAGAGAGAGAGAGAGAGAGAGAACTGGGCCTTGTATGAGCGTTTAACACCTCAAAGCCCATCCCCAGCGGCATACCTCCTCCAACAAGGCCACACCTACAACTAGGCCACACCCCCTAATCCTTCTCCAATAGTGCCACTCCCTGATGACTAAGCCTTCAAATATATGAGGCTGTGGGGACCACACTTCTTCAGACCCCCACAGCACCCCTGGTCATCCGGTGCAAGGCTCCAGCAGCTGCCCAGATCACCTGATGCACCTTTGAGTGACCTGGGCACCTCCCCCCCATTGTAAAGCTTCTTACACTACTGTAGACAGCAATCCTCCCACCACGCTGTGGCTGGGGAAACTTTTACCCCGTCTGCATCTGGCCGGACGCTCAACAGATGGGTGGCCACAGCGGGCAGCTCAAGCGGCTTCTGCCACTTTTGCAAGCCGCCAGGTAGACAGTTAGCTGGGCTTTATGATCCACTCCATGAACCCCTTGTCCCTGAGAAGGTAACACTGACCTTTTGTCAGAAAGATGCCGGCGAGCCCCTAAGACAGCTCTGCCTACAGAAAACAAAACCCAAGCCGTGCAGGCATGTCCTAGAAGCCATGTTTCAAAACAAGAAACTGGGCTGGGCTGTAGCTTTCTGGTAGGTGTCTCCCCTCCATCAGGAGACCCTAACCCTGACCTCCAGCCCTGCCCTCCCCAGAAAGGGAGACAGAATTATGATGACATATTTCCCTTACCCCAATACACCCAAAACATGAGGGGTTTAATTTGTAACCAGTGTAAATACTAGCGGACTATTTCACTTTTCTTTCTCTTTTTAAACATTCAGAGTCAGGCGTGGTAGGTCGCACCTACAGTCCCAGCACTCAGGAGAGAAAGGCAAGACCAAGAGTTCAAGGCCCTCCTTCACACAGGCCAGACAGGGCTGCATAAAACAAAATGGACACTCAAGAAATTTCAAGTCTGGAGCACATTTTACACACACAGTAGCTCACACCTCAGTCAGATGAGTCATAGCCCTGTGCCCCAAGGCCACTGGTGTGAGCGGCTCCCTTCCTGAACAGAGCAGGCCACAGCTCTCTCTGTGACAGGAAGACACACTGAACTGTGGGTAGGCCTCCCCCCCCCCCCCCCCCACCCAGGATGGGTACTTGGTTTTCAACCTTGGGTCCGATCAGAAAAGCCTTGAAGTATATAGATCTATGCCCTGTGGATGTCCCAGGAAACGGGGAGCCCTCCCCCCTCTTCAACACCAGGGAGCACATTGTGGGGCCTCTCCCAGACGGCTGGGTGGTACCCACTGGTCAGCATCCAGCCGCAATGCTGCCCGCCACACCAGGTTCCAGGAAGCTCTGGGCAGAGTCAGCCCACAGCCTCTGTGCTAACTGCTCTCCACACTAACTCTCAGCCAGTGCTCACCATTCCAATAACGATGAAAACCCTTAACTAAGATTTAAAATCTGGCTCAGTAGCTGTGGGAACCGGAGCAGGCTGCTTTAACCTCCCCGAGCCGAGCGCGAGCGAGCGCGAGCGAGCGCCTGTGAGCTGTGACAGTCAGATGACAGCCTCTGGTGTCAGTTCTCACCTTTCCTTGTTTGAGACAGGCTCTCTACTTTGTTGTTCAGGGCTGAGTGTGACCGTCTAGCCGGCCCTCAGTCTGCTGGGGATACCCTTGTCTCTGCCTCCCATCTCAAACGCTTTAGGGTTATAGACACTCACTAGGGAGCCCAGCTTTACGTGGGTCCTAGGGATTCGAACCAGGGTCCTCGTGCTTGCCTAGCAACCCTCTTGCCCACTCGGCCACCGCTCCATCCCAGAGCTTATTTCTCCGCAGATGTAAAGCGCTTAGAATGATGTCTTCCGTGGAGAGAACACTGACAAGCTCTGTCTGGCACCCGCTTTACAGATGGGGCCCAGAGGCTCAGAGGGCTTGAGACCTTGGTCCGTGTTGTCTAGTGAATCCAAGGTGGTCGTGTTTACAAGACAGTGAGCAGACTTACCAAGAGACCCCCCGTCACCCCCGGAGAGTCTCCTCAGGGCCCCGAGGGAAACACGTGACTTACACACCGCAGCCTCCTCCAGCTGAGGCTCCCTAGGGAGCTGAACTGTTCTGTGGTGCGGCTCTTGCCAACTCCGGGTGTCGGGGGCCCGTCCCTTGGTGGCACCGCACACACAAGGGCGCATTGTTATCCCCTCACTCCCGGCGGGGCCGGCGAGTCTGGACAGGCATGCAGCTGCTCTGTGCACCACCTCTGCTTCTGCTCCTCTCGCTCCCGCCCCCTGCTTCTTTTCAGAAAGGGTACAGGGTGGCTGGCCGTCCTCTGGCCCCAACAGGGAAGGCCTGTCCTTTGTGGCAGCTCGTGGCTGGGCCCTGGACTTTCCTAGGCCAGACGCCACATCAGACCTGAGCTTGTGGAGTGTGGGGCTATAGCCTCATTCACTGATCTCCACACACTCCCAGCGGGTCCCCAGAATCACACCTCTAAACCTGTCCTAGCAGGTGCTCGTTACAGCGGGCAACGTTGCTGGTGACAGTGTGGCCCGAGTCCAGTCGGAGCCGGCAGCCCGCCTTTGCCCAGAGATGTAGATTTATTCAATTCATCTGAGGACCAGTCAAAGATCCCCACCGCGACTGGGCTCCGAGCCAGGCAGGCAGGACCTGAGCTTCCTTCCCTGAGCTAGACAGGGGCTCTCGAATACTTGTAGAACCCGAGCTTCCTTTCCCAGGAGGTGCCGGCGGTCAAGACTGTAGGCAAGCAAACAGGAAAGGTGCGGTCCGCTGTCCGCACGGCCCACGACACCACCCTAGCTCTGAAGCTACACTCCAGAATTCAAGACACCAGTAGGAAGTTCCAGGCCCTGTCAGACACCACGGAGAGTTCTCTAGGCCTAACGATGAATTAGGGAGGGGATCCCCAAAAGTGACGAGGGTCAATGTATATGGCCATGAGGGAACCAGCTGAGCCCAGGGCCTGAGCAGGGTTCCGGCTCTGAGGGCCAGCTCACAGGGGGCCGGGGACAAATGGCAGGGTGCACTGTTCATCAGCGCAGGATAAAACTCAGATCCTGGGGGACTCTGCGTTTTCATGAAGTAGACAGCTGAAGACTTCTCGTGGTTCGCACCGACTTCCAGCCACTGTTGGGGTCCTGCCTGACCATTGAGTTTTAAGAGGCAATGAGGTGGACCGCAACCAGAGACACCGCTGGAAAGTGGTGCCTGAAACAGGAGACGGGGTCTGTGGATATCAGGCCAGGCAGCATCCAGGCCCGACCTCCAGAGCGAGCCGCAGCCACACACCGCCACCTCTGCTGGCTCCCTGCCTGGCCCCGTGGCCAGCTGACTCACCTCTCTGAGGCACGCTGGCAGCCATCTTCTGTTGACACACTCTGGCTCCTCCACCCTGGAGGCCCCCCAAGGCCTGGGTTGTTGTTCAGCACCTCCAGAGGAAGCGGCCCAGGCTTGTGCAACACTCTGCAGCCCCTGAGATCCCCTGTTCCCACCCGGAGCCTTCCCGTGGGAAAGCTGGCCGGGACAGTAGGAAGTTGGCCTGGCACTACAAAGACACCAGAAAGCTCAGCTCCCCTGGCCCCCAGGGTAACAGCCTCACCCCACGATCAGGGAAGAGGAAACTGTCCTGTCCCAGCACACCACGCCGCACTGCTGGGCCCGGAGCATGGCCTGGGGGAGGAGGCCGTTACACTTCCAGAGGGATCTAGGGAAGATGACCACAGCAGTTTGTACCGTTCCCCAAGGATTCGCCAGCCTCCAGCCCCACCCTGGCTAGCCTCATCCTTCATTCTCTCTGCTCACCAACGGGTGACCACGGGTGAAGGGGACCCTGCCAGGCCCAGTGAGAAGACGGAGGGCGACAGACGGCCAAGGAGGCTGCCGAGCCCCACCTCAGCACCAGCCAGGAGGGGGTGGGGGCGTGAGTATGAAAGCCACACAGACAGACAGACACACACATACGCACGCACACATGCACAAAGGGAGAACAGTCTCCACCTGAGGAGTCAAGGAGATCCTGTGTGCCTGAGGGACCGGGGGTCCTCCTCGGCAGCCCTGAGCCTCCTACCTCTGTGCTGCCCAGGAGCTGAAAGACCTTACAGCCCAAGTGAGGGATGTGTCGGTGAGCGTGGACCTGGACAACCGCTGCCGCATCGACCTGAGCGGCATCGTGGAGGAGGTGAAGGCCCAGTACGACGCCATCGCCGCCCGGAGCCTAGAGGAGGCGGAAGCCTACACACGGAGCCAGGTCAGGGGCTGACACGCAGGGAGGGCAGGTGGGGGCTGACCTGCAGGGAGAAACATGGTGGCAGCTCTGACCTGAGTTTCTCTGAGGAGTGGTAGATGTAGGGAGGGTTGCAGCATTCAGCCACAGACAGCTCGGAAAGAGTGAGAGCCACTCCTGCAGGACCCTGGGAGCTGTGGGCAGCCGTGGAGAGCCGTGGGGAGCCGCGGGCAGCCGTGAGGAGCCGTGGGGAGCCGTGGGCAGCCGTGGGCAGCCGTGGGCAGCCGTGGCAGGAAGCTGTGTGGCCCTTCCCACAGGGCACAGAGTTGCCAGCACCGCAGCGGGCATGGGCGTGGCTTACCCAGGGCAGCTTGTGGGGCTGGAGAGGGAGGTGGGAGCGGACTGCAGAGGTGAGGCTGGGGGTGTTGAGGGACTACAACCATCTTTCCGTCCCCTTCCCACCCCTTCAGCTTGAGGAGCGAGCCGCCCGCTCGGCGGAGTTCGGGAACAGCCTCCAAAGCAGCCGCTGCGAGATCGCCGACCTCAATGTGCACATCCAGAAGCTTCGTTCTCAGATCCTCTCCGTCAAGAGCCACGTGAGAAAACCTCTGAAGGGCCTGAGGGGCCGTAGGGACCAGGAGACACTCAGACAGGCCGAGTACACGCAAGACCCGGCCAAGGGGCCTGAGCGTGGCTATTGGTGCCTCTGGCCTCAGTTTCCTCATCCACCAAATGGAGAGGAGCGTGGCTATGGTGGCCGTGAGGGACGCGAGTTCTGCACAGGAACAGCCTCTGTAGAGTGCCCGGAGCTACCGGGACATCAGAAAGGCCCCCACCACCATGCACGACGGGGCCCTGGGCCCTGCCCAAGCCCAATCACGCAGAATGGGAGGAATGTGGGCTCGCGGGACTTCCTGCCCTACTCAAACACCCTCTAAGTCCATTGCAAGCCATCGCCACGCCTAGAAATGCCGTTGCTTAGCTACCTCTCCCAACCACGCCCCCTTCCCTTGGCTGCAGTGCCTGAAACTGGAGGAGAACATCAAGGTGGCGGAGGAGCAAGGCGAGCTGGCCTTCCAGGACGCCAAGGACAAGCTGGCCCAGCTGGAGGCCGCCCTGCAGAAAGCCAAGCAGGACATGGCGCGGCAGCTGCGCGAGTACCAGGAGCTCATGAACGTCAAGCTGGCGCTGGACATCGAGATCGCCACCTACCACAAGCTGGTGGAAGGGGAAGAGAGCCGGTGAGGAAAGGGAAAGGGGCGGAGAGCGGGGCGGAGGGCGGGGCGGGGCGAGGGGCGAGGCTAAAGCCAGCCGCCTGTCCAGCCTGCAATCCAGCCGGACACTGTCCGGAACTGAGACCTAGTTCCTACGGCCAGTTTGCCCGGCAGGAAAATGGGCTAATGATAAACATGGCTCGCTGGTGGTGGGGAAGCCAGCTGAATCTGACCAGAGAGATTGCTCAATGCGGAGCTCCCCATCCCCGCAATCCACACGGTGGAAGGGGAGAACCAGTTCCCACCTGTTATCTGAACCTCACATGCACTCTGTGACACACGGGTGCATGCGCACGCGCGCACACACACACACGCACACACACACACGCACACACACACACACAAGGTTTTTTTTAAGTTCAAGGTGGCTATCTCCGGGTTGTTGTTTTTAACTGCTCAGGCATGTTCAGCATGCATGGACTGAGTCCATCTGGAGCAGACCCTGGGAGAAAGGCAGAGCGGGCATCCTGGCTTATCTAAAGTCCAGGTTTGGGTCTCACACACCGAGACTCTCCTCCCCTCCCACCCTCACACCGTCTGAGGAGCCAGAAGCAGGACAGTCATGCTTCCTCAGCCCCCTACCCCCTAGGAACTCCAGAGACAAGGACAGCTGGCTAGCCAGGGTCGCATGACAGGACAACCACAGACTGCAGCCCCCATCCTAACGGGGTTCAAATCCCAGGTTCCCGTCACACCCTGCCTCCCCCTCCCGCAGGATGGACCTACCTTCAGCCACCGTGGTCAGCGCCGTGCAATCCCGAAGCAGAACCAGTAAGTCCACATGCCCGGAGACCCACGGCAGGGATGTGGGGACGGGAGCCCCGAAGGCATCCTTACGTGGCTTCCGTTGCTCCAGCCCCTTCAGTCCCTCACCCTTGTGTCCCCTGTAGCTGCCTCCAAGTCTGGCCTCTCTAAGACCCCCTCCCGGAAGAAGAAGACCCGCAGAGGTCCTGTGATCAAAATCACCGAAATGTCAGAGAAGTACCTCTCCCAGGAGTCAGAGGCCTCAGAGTAAGGCCCCAGAGCCTCAGGCCACTGCCGCGCAGCCAGAGGGACTTAAGCTAAACTCGAGAACGCGGCCTGGAGCCTCTAGGTTGGGAGGGGAGACAATGAACAGAGAGAGATGGGCTCCAGCTGAGACTGTTTCTCCGGATGGTCAGCAACAGCAGGGGCATGGCCAGCTCTGTTCTGCATCTGTGTCTCACTCGCCACTCCCAGCCTCCTGGCCGCAGGCTGTCCTGGTGTGTAAGGGGAACCTGGGGTCCGTCGCCTCCTCGCTCGCCCCTCTGAAGCTGCCCTTCCCACAGCCCTGACAAGGTACTTGACTTCTGCCCATCGCTTGCCCTGACTTCTGCCTCGGCCTCGCCTCTACCTCAGAGCCGAGACTGGCATCTTGTCTAGCCGTAGTCTGAGCTGAGGACACACGTGGGTTCTGTCCCACACCCGGAGCTCCTGGGGACTGGGGCACCCTGGGTTCCCTGCCCTGAGGCTTCCCAGACACCTGACAGTATTGGGGACAAGAGAGGAAAGGCCTGATGTGACAGAGCCTGAGCCTCGGAGTGGCCCAGAGGCCTGCACACACCCTCACTAGGGACTAAGGTATCAGTCATAACTGCGCTCCAGGGGTATTCTGGCCATGGCCAACACCCCGGAGGAGAGCCCAGAGACGGCAGCCTGACTCCAGGCCTTGCCTCCACCTCCCTGCCATTCTGGGCTGTGCCACCATCCTGCAGTCTGAGCTCTGCCTCCAGCCCAGGTCTCTCCAGCCTCGTCCCTTGATTTTGGTGCAGCGGGCCTAGAGCCCCAGAGCCTACCCTACCAGACACACCCATTTCCCCAAATCCCACTTCCTAGGACCTCTGTCTGTTCTACCCCAGGGCCAAGGATCTAGGACATCCCACACAGTGGGCCAAATCTTCCCAGTCCTCCCCCCTCCAGTTCCTCCCTTCCTCTGAGCTTACTCCCCTGCCTCTGGTGGGCCATGAAGAAGGCTAAGCATGGAAAGATCCAGAAGCTTCTTAACCCTTAAGTAGGTCCAGGAAGCCCCAATGGGGGCTTCACAGGATCCAACCCGAGAGCCATCCTGCATCCACCAAGGGGATCTGACTTAGCCAGAGAGTCCTGTACTCTTCCCTGGCTCTCACCTCTGGGGTCTGCAGGGGCACAGTGGTGCCAGCCTCCCCATCCCACCAGCCTCCTTCTCCCCTCCCTTTCCTCCCCTGACATCCATGTCCTGGCTCCTGCCTCACCTCCTCTCCTAGCCTGTCTCTCATCCCTTCATCTCAGCCTCCAGGACAAGGTGTCCAGCAAGGCCCCTGGCCCTCCAAGCCTGCAGGGAGTCTCCTGGGCCAGAGGGACCCACAATATACTCAAAGCAGGTGCTCTTTGCTGCTTTCTCTCAGGCTATTTATCCGTTTCCAAGGGAGCAAATCCTCAGTGGGGACATGAAATATAGGAAGTATATATTATTTTTTCATAACTTATGTGGCTTTTAACTTATTGCTCCCCTTCCTGTTTCTGCATGACCAGTGCTGTGCATACTATCAGGATTTTAGAGAACTCATTCCAGCCACCTGGCTGACTTGGGCAAGGTGAATAAAGTATTGAGATTCATCATAGTTAGAGCTGCCGGGCATTGATTTTTATATGTTGGGTGTTTGCTTCATTTTGTTTTGAGTGTGTTGGAGACAGGATTTTGGGTAGCCCAAGCTGGCCTCAAACTCCTACAGACAAGGATGCCCTGAACTCTCTGTTCTTCTGCCTTGGTCTCCCAGAGGGCTGTAATTACAGGTATTTGCCCCCATTCCTCGCTTGAGTGTCTAATTTTAATCTCCCCCTCAGGGTGGTGTGGTGGCACACAGTCATCCCAGGCTGACCTCGGGGCGTGACAGGCTCTGTAGTTGTAGGGAGCTGTAACTTCAGACCAATGGGGAATAGATGCAGAAGTTCCCCCACCGTTTCCTGCTGCCAGGAGACTGGCAGGAGACTGGCATAATGTGGGTCTGCATCCCCAGCACCCACACATCCAGGTACCACATGGGCCTCCTCAGCAGACACAAACGGGGGATTCCCCAGCTGGCAGCAGGGTTCCTTCTTCCCAGAGTACACTTGGATGGAGCAGACCTAATCCTGCCAAGTCCAATTCAAGACAAAAAATAAGGATGGAGAACCATCTCCAAGGGGCAGGGAGATGGCTCAGTGGGCAGACTAGTGGCCGAGCCTCGTGGCCTACACAGGAGGAGGAAAGAGCCAACTCCTGAGAATTGCCCTCTGGCCTCTACAAGAAAGCTGTGGTATGCAAATGCACACACCAAATAAGTAAATAAATGTTCTAAATGGCCCTCTCCAAGCCCTGTGCTAGGAGACCTAGACTACCGCTCCTTCCTTCTCCCGCCAGGAGCCCACACACAGGCCTCGGGAAGAGGCCAACTTCCAATGACCAGCCTAGGCTCCTCTGCAAGTACAGAGGTAGCTCGTTTGCTGGGTCCGGGAAGGGCCCGCTGTGGCCCACCTTCTCCCTGGCCCACAAGATCCTGAACAAACTGAGCCTTGGTTTGCCTGTCAGTGGCAGGGATCACACAGCTCTCTTCACTGCCTCACGGGTGTGTGGGGATCTGATGGCACAGCTTCAGCCACTCCTATCAGGAAGGCTACGTCATCCTGTGCTGCCAAACTCTGCCCTGTGATGGATCAGCCAATGGGAAAGGCAGATATTAAGAATTATAGATGACTGGCCATGCCTGAGGCTCAAAGCCAGGCAAGGAGACCTCAGCCTCACTTATGAGGGACACAGCACAGCCAGACCCTAGGCCTTGACTCTTCCCCTCAGGACCTTGACAGACAGGCTCTGCTCTCAGGACACAGGACAGATGAAGAGAGAAGCCCCACATGCCCTCCAGAGAGCTTTTGAATACCTGTTTGAATTTCCAAACACGAACAGGAGTTTCATGCTCTGAGGTTCTGGGACGTATTTATTTTCCTTCTAATTTCTCTGGGTTACTTTTATCAGCTTTCATCTGCGTAGACTGAATGCTTTAATTTTCAGCCATCTTTTTCCATATAACTTTCTTTGAAGATCACTCACTTCCTGGTACATACCATTCTGACTGCTCCCTGGAGTTCTCATTTGTAGCACCTTTATTATCATAGAGTTGAAACAATGCTATTATTTGGCTCATAAGTTGTTTAAAAATCTATGACGCACACCTGAGTCATTCATTTACAAGCATTTTTTTAGCACAAACTTCGCTCGTGCCTGGCCATGCTCCGGATATACACAGGAGCGTGTTAAACTCCTCCTTTATCTCTACAGCTGTCACTCCTCAACCTCAGCTAAGCAGCTCTGGGGCGGCTACTGTGGACTCCCTGTCCCTCGATAACTCTAAGTATCTTGAGGGCAGATTGTGTCCCGCTCCGTCTCCGGGGCCTTCAAACCCTGGCCTGGGACAGAGCCACCATTTTGGACTACACCATGCTGGACTACAATGAGACAAGCCGTCCTTCTCTCAGTTGGGCACTGTGGCCAAAACCAGCAGACAGATGCCTGACTCCCCCAGCGTGGATCTGCCTGGAGAGGCTGAGCCTGTAGTCTCCTCTGCAGAGTTAATGCTAGGAAGCCCTGGAAGCCAGGTTTGCTCGCATTCTGTGGCGGCCTCAGAGCCATGCCATATAGAAGATTGGCAGGCAGAGGTGGCGTGGGGAGGGGTGATGGCTCCAGGGAAATGCAGCTGTCCATGGCATCCGCTGATCCAAAGGTGACCCCTAATAAATTCATTTTACTCATGAATGAGTCATCCTTTGGGCTGTGGGTACCATCCCTGTTGGGGAGCAAATGTTAATTTTCTTCTTCCATAAAGAAATCACATAATAAGAGATCCCCAATAAGTACAGAATCAGTGAGAAAGGAAAGAATGACACCCCTCCCCAGTCTCCAAGCCCCAAAGTGGCATGGACACGTGGCATGTCTAGTCTACTCTTACGTCACAGAGCTAAGGCAATGCCTTGCACATGAAAGGCTACAGCCAGCGTGGGGTAGAAAGGGATAATTTTCCTGCCCAAGCAAACAAACTTCCCTACCCCCTTCCAGCCAACAGTCCTCTAAAAGACAAAGCGTGCCCTAGTCCTCAGACGAGCCTCTCTCCTCACTTCTCCTGTCTGCTCTGTTCTCCCAGAGACTCTGTGACAGGTTGGCCAAGGAGTGCTAGCCTTTTTGGCTATGACAAATTAAGTCCCTCCCTGGGTTTGCCTCATTCTTCCCTGTTAGCCGAGGTCTGGAAAAAACAAGCAGAAGGCACACATTAGAGAAGAGGGAGCATTTGGTCACCTAGAACCATTCAGTTTTTACCTGCAGACTGAATGCCATAGGAAGAGACAAACATGGCTGAGCCAATGGCTGGTGAGAGGGACCAGGACACAAAAGGTGGGTGGAGCTGGACAGGTACCCATGAGCTGAGTGCTCTTGGCAGCCTGAAAGATTAGCTCTCAGACCCAGTGCTTTATGCCTGGGAATCAAGTCTCTCCATCTCCAGAGGACATGACCACCTGAGTCCTCATCCAGAGCCCAGGCAGGCCCTGGTTTGGTGGGATAGCATTCTCTCATGCAAAGTGAGGTTTGTTGGGATAGCCTTGTCTCATGCCACTTCTCCTGGCCAGGTCAAATGTAAGGGAAACACATAAAGAGACGCATTGTCCCTAAGTTTGGGGAACTCTGGCCCTAGGAAAAGGGACCACCACAGAAACAGAAAGAAACAAACCAGAGATTCCTGGACCTTGGTCTCCATCCCACTGGGGCCCTGCCATGCAGCTGGGAAGTCTGTCACAGGTTTCCTGGAAGAGGGGAGACCAAGTCAGAGGATGAGTATTAGAGGGAGCAAAGGAGATGGAAAGGGGGTGAAGTTTCTTGGCCCAGACTGCCCATCACAAGGCAGTGTTTCCAGAAATGAACAGGGGAAGCTATGAGACGCTGTGATGTGCAGTGGTCCCTGAAACGCCCCACAAGACACAGGCTATGAGCACAGACTGATGTCACTCAGTTCTGCAGCCTGGTGACCACCGACTTGGACCATTGACCAAATCAGCATGCTGCCGGCACTGGCCAAATTCTGAAAGAATGAGCAAACACGTGGTGACAGCAAGGGGCCATAGCTGCTGAGAAATGCAGAGAGTGCCATCACAGGGCACCTCAACGAGGAGGAAAGAGAGGAAGTGCCAGCCTTCTCTTCAGAGGCTCCATCCTGGAGCAGAGAGGCCAGCATCCATGCCATGCCCCTTCCCTGCCCCCACTGTGCCAAGGCCTCTCTATCATGGCTGCTTTGTGGGGCCACAGACCAGTCATGCTTCTGAGAGCTGTGATGACACTAAAGATCAGGTCCCTGGCACAGGTGCAGAAGGGGGATCAAGGCTAAAGATCCCCCTGCCACTCATCTGTTGTTGTTGTTATTATTATTATTATTATTATTTATACTGTATTCTTCCAGCATGTACGCCTGCACACCAGAAGAGGGCACCAGATCTCACTATAGATGGTTGTGAGCCACCATGTGGTTGCTGGGAATTGAACTCAGGACCTTTGGAAGAACAGCCAGTGCTCTTAATCTTTGAGCTATCTCTGTGTTCTTAGCTGGGGCCATCAGCTCTGCTAGGAACCACACTGACAAATGGGCTTGCCAGGGAAAATCCTGGAGGCATCTTGAATCCCTCAGAGACCTACGGGAGTTGGGAGCAAGGGGAGATGAGGGTGAAGGGCAAGCTGTTTATTCTGACGCATGGCGGCATCAGCCCCCAGTTGCAGGCTATCAGGACTGTTGTCTTCTGGTCCGGGAGCATTCACGGGAGCTATGACCGCTCACAAGCAGGAAAGGGTCCCTCACAAACCCCTTCTCAGATGGCGCTTGCCAACATCTGACCCTCGCAAGCCTGAACTATCCAGCGTTTCTGGTATGGCGTCTTCAACGTGTCAGCCGTCACGAGGTTCCCTGACCTCCCACACCTCTCCCAAGGGGACTGCACCCATAGCAACTGAGCCTAGGGTCTACAGAGTGTGTTCTGGGGCTGGGTGGGTGGTTGGGGGTTCTCTGAGGCCTGAACTACACTTGCATAATTGACTCGAAGCTTTTAAAAATTGAGTCACGAGGGCTGGAGTCACGGCTCAGCGAGTAAGAGCCGTGCTGCGCCTGGCAGAGGGTCCAGGCTGGATTCCCGGCGCCCACACGGCGCCTCACAACCAGCCGTAACTCAGTTCTAGGGGGATATGGTGCAGTCTCTCTGGCCTCTGTGCTTCAGGCAAGACACCCACACACATGAAATAAACATAAATCTTTAAGCTGATGCACAAGGAAAGAATTTAGCCTGGTGCCTGGCACACAACAGTTGCAGAAGAACGCCAACAGCCAGCACAAGCCTTTCCCAGCTTCCCCACGTCCCCAGAGGGGATGAGAAGGGCTTTCTGTCAGGCCCCCGAGGCCTGTCCTTTGGAGTGATTAAGCCCTACCTGCTTGGAGATCTGTTTAGAAGAAGCTGAGGGTTGGGGACGTGGCCCGGCCCTTCCCCTTCCTTCTGGAGCAGACTGCCTGGCTGCCCTCCAGTAGGAAAAGCCCAGACAGCCATCGCAGCAGCCACC